CCCTCATCAGGCTGAGCTGAGCACCGTGTTTCTCTCACCAGCTGATGCTGTAGCTTGTCTGAAAGCCACGGGGATTAATACTGCTAGAATATACGGTTTGTTTAACTATTTTTATTGACCCTTGAACATACCTACTGTGTAATTTATTGTAACATTAGTAGTTCAGTCCTGTGGTTTGCTGTAGAAAATCTTCACTTTAAGCCAGTGGGAAATTTTGCTAGGGTGAGGAGTGCAGGCCTGGCCTCTGCTTCGCCTTTTTTCTTTTCCATTGCAACACAATTAACCTTTTCATTAGAAGAGCTCTGTTCCAAATAAGCAAACGTCTCAATGTGTATTACTGAGCCATTTCAAGCTGCCTCTTGCTTTGGAACAAAACATCTTTGTTCCAGCCATGCATGACATTTGAAGACCTATTTATACAATGTGTCAGCTCCATTTGTTTTCTTCATCCTGATATTTTCCTCTGTATTTTTGGTTAGCCATCCAGATTGCAAGGAGCAAGGCTGCTGCTGCTTTCCTCCCGCACTGTTCCAGATGGAGGCACTGGCTGCCTTCGGCTTTTCTCCCCTTTTGCGGGCAGAGGTGAAATAACCCAAAATCAAACACAGTTTTGCTGAGTTCATCTGCCCTGCACTGAGACCAGACCCACGAGATGGCTGTCGGACGGAGCGGATGGAGAGCTTGCAGAAGGACCTGGTGTTCTTACAGTTTCTCTCTTGATGCCCTGCCTCTGAGTGACACTGCCTACGGGATGTACACCACTTCTGCTGGAGGGGACTTTCTGAGGCCCACACTTCCAAGTTGCGTCACTAAATATGCCCTCCTGCAAAATACCTGCTTTTTCCTTAGATGCTCATAATTTGTCCCAAGTGTCTCATCAGCTGTTCTTGTCTGACAGTATAATGCTAACTGATGGAACAAAACCCAATGTAAAAATTAAAAAAAAAATTTCTTATCAAGATGTCGAGTAATAAAACTTGACATCCTCCTGATTTCAGTATAGAGTAAGTGTAAACAATTACGGGGTTTGGTCCATCCTCTCCCTTGTAAATAATCTATCTAACTTGGGACACATCTTCTTCCAGAAGAGACACAGGGTAGTGCTGTCCATGCTACTCAAGCACCAACATAATGTCTGTCCCAGCGCTGGCACTACCTAGTGACAAAGGAAACTTTGTCCTTTTTGAAATATTTTATGCAACCTGCCAGCTGAAGGTTTCAAGCTGCTTTAACATGTGTAGGATGCCAGGGAAATACTGCAAGCCTTACTTGAACCAGAAAATGAGGCTGAAGCTGCCAACCCAGCAGTGGTGAGTGTGGGGCTGCAATGGCAAAACCACATCTGCTCTCTTCAGTATTATCCTTGCCAGGAAGGTTTGGAACAGGGAGTGAAACAGCTCCATGCAAGCAAACTTGCTCCTGCCAGCTATTATGTGGCCCACTCAAAGCCTTTGACAAGGCCAAGCAAGACTTCAACATTGGCATTGTGCTTCCCCATCGACGTAATAGGAGACAGAAGATTTGGGCTATAAGATTAGAGATTAATCTTCAGAGCACCTTGCAGTTGTGGTTTACATAGACACTCTCTCCAGCTCTTGGGAAAGTGCACCATCTCCGCTGAACGTGAAGCTGCAGGTTATTTTCATGCCAAAAACTTAATGTGTGCCTTCAACCAGACTGCCATCGGCAGCCTTTGTGCATGGCGGATGGGCTTCTGCTGCAAGAAGAGGAGGCAGTGGCATGCGAAGAGGAATGCCTTCAGCACCATGTGCTTCAAATGCAGTGCTTCCAAGCTTTGCTTTGTGGTCCAGCTGCGTGCATGGCCTCGCTCGGCACAAATGAAACCAAGGCATCCATATGCTGTACATTAAGAGAAAGAGCGTTTGATCTCCTGCTCACTGGCTCACTGCTCAGATGCTCGCTCTTCCCCTCTGTAGCAGTTTTGAGGAGTACGGAGCCTGGTGTCAAAACCTGTAAGTCTGCATGCATTTATCAGCTCTGTGATGGGAACTGCAGCGCTTAACACAAAACAGTTGAGAAAAGGTTGCTGGCCACAGCCACAAAACCTGCCCTCATCTTTTCCATGATGGTGGCGGAAAAGAAAATTCCTCAAGTTGTATTTTTCTATTTAAAGATGAAGGGAAAAGGACTGCCAAAGTGGATGGAATTTAGTCCAATTGCTGTAATGCCTGGATTAGCAATGCAAAATGCGTATCTCCTCCAAGTGCAGGAATTGTGGCTGTGCATAGCCAAGGCCACCACAAAGCCACTGCAGCCCCACATGAGCAAGGGACAGCTCAGGTAACACCAGTCGTCAAGGCTGCCACTAATTTGATTACTGTGTCACTGCTTCACTGCTTACCATGCATTTTCAAGTAATTTACTGCAGAAGTCCAGTGCTGTTCTGTTCTGCTAAGAAGCTACAGACATCTCTGATCCACATTAAAGATGCTGGGGAGATAGCAGAGAAAAGCTCCCCTGTGCAGAGGACTTGGCTCTTCAGCACCGCCCCATGTGAGCTGGGAACTGCGCAATACTGTAACTTGGAAGTGGTGCAAGGGGAACAAGCAGAAGCAACAACCAGGTAACAATAGAAATGAATTTTATTTTGTAAAAAGTTATAAAATGAATATTGTACAAAAATAAAGTCTGTAGAGAACTTTGGTTGATTAACACAAATGACTGAGACATAAATTGCAGGTGAAGTAAATATCCCCAAAGCACACTCCTATCTTCAGTAAGGGCAAGAAAAAAAAAAAAAAAAAAAAAAAGGGGGGGGGAAAAGCCTCTCTGTCCTCTGTACGGTCATGTGGCCAGCGCTAACGCTTTTTACAGAAGTGTCTCACCTGTGATGTTTTACTTGTTCCCCTTCGACTGATGTTATCTTCCCTTTTATGTTTTGAACGTAGTGATTTGCTTTGGTTGCAGACTCCTGCCGCTGTGCAGAACAGGCTTTGGGGCAGGTTTTCAGCAAGTGAGGCAAGTGAAAGCACACCTCTGAGCACTGCGCCTGGTCAACCACCCAGCAGTGCATCTGACCCTCAGCTTAGCTGGCTTTTGCCACGCAAATCATGCTGATGCTGGTGGTGGTATCGGCTGTGCCACCCCTGCCCAGCGTGGAGGGTAAGGTGTCCCTGTGGCAATGTGAGAACGGATCTCACAGGTGAGCTCGGGTGCTGCCCTCCATCCACCCAGGAAAGCTGCGGAGGTCAGGGCTGAATTACATTTCATACACCTGTTACCTCTTTCTATGCCTGTTCCAGACTCTTTTTTTCTGTGGCATCCCAAGGGGCCCAGGGCAAAATGAGTATAGAGAGACACTGCATGCATTAGATAAAAGGTTGGACCACCATTTTCTGTAGGGCTTTTTTTCTTCCTGTTGTTTTTGTGGGAGTTGATGCTTCACTGGTTGTCAGGTATGTCTAGTGACCTGCACTGCTGCTCCTTCGGGGAAAAAAGTCTCCAGAATGACAGCTTGCATTAGTGGTCAGGTATGAACACCTTTGCTGTATGACCTCCCTCATCTTAAGGAAACTCAGACTGTTCTGCTGCGTGGGTATGATCCTGTAACACTTCAGCAAATTATACAAAACATTTTGGTTATTTAACACAGTTTTTTACCTGCAGGCTATATTAAATCCAGGGCTAACTAGTAAGAGGGGTTTAACCTCTTCCACTATGGAAATACGGAAGGAAAAGCTTAAATAAATATAACAAGAAATTATAAGGCTAAATGTGATTATTTTCCATTTGTCAATAGTTATATGAGGTCAGCTGGCAAAAAGTGTGAGAAAAAAATGTGGCTACATTTAAAATATGACTAGAATTAGTTTTTCTAACAAATTGCTAATGCTGAGCCAAGTCTTGCAACCCTCACTTGTCCGGAGACATTGCTGCTCCTGCGCATGTACGACTGCAGTGCTTATCAAAAGTATTAGTGAACAGAAGGAAGGGCTGCAGGCTTTGGCACTACATTTTGTGAACACAATCAGGATTTTGTTTAAAAGAAAAAAAGGTAAAGTAAGTGATTTTTTGCATTCAAGTTAACACTTTCGATCAAAAGCACGGACCGATGTTCCCAACTTCATTTTCTCTCTGTATCTTCCAAGCACCTTCTACTTTGGCACCTTTGAAAAGAAACTTTAATAAATAAGGAAAGAAGACATTACTGAACTGTAATAAATAACAATAACTTAATCTCAATAAATATCTTCTGTATATTCATGTCTCTGAATGGATGCATTGCATCAAGTAGTCTCTGCTCACTTACAACGACCAAATAGAAATGTAGCTACACAAGTGATGTTAGTCCTTTTTAAACCAAAAGAAACACCTTTTGTGGAGGCCGGGCTTGTTATTTCTCTCACTATACTACGAAGAAGTGCTTAAAAACTCAACTTGTTTTCATAGGTAGCAGAATGAAATCCTACACTTGTTTTGAAGAAACATGAGATAGAAATAACTGAAGTTAACCAGTAAGTGGAATCGTTTTGTATTGTATTGATACTGGCCCTAGAGAACTTCAGCCTGGGAACTGTGATATTTGTCCAATATCATCTTACTTACTAAGTTAATCTTATTACAGCTTAGAAGTTGTCCTAAGAGCTTAGGAACTGCCCTTCACCGAGCAGTAGCACAATGTGTCTTTCAGTGAAGCTGAGGGCACAGGGGATGAGTGAAGGTACTCCTAAGCCACTTCTCAGCTCGGGTCCCTGGCACGGATGGTAGAACTACAACACAGCGCGGTATGGCAGGGTTGTGTTTTTAAGCACATTCCTCACGGATCCGAGTCTCCCTGATGGCGGACTGTGTCAAATGGGAAAGGCAGCGCGCATGCCATCCAGCCGTCGGCATCTCCACCCGAGCTTTTATTTACTTTCCCGTAGGATGTCAAAAGCCTCCATCCTCCTACGCCGCCTCGTGCCCCCGCCCCAGGCTCTCACAACCCCTCGTTCTGCGTTCTTGGTCCTCTTTTCTCTGCTCTGAGCAGAGGCTAGCCCTCAGACGCATCCACACCTTTTTGCGGAATGTTTTTTCAGTATGTGGTAAACCAGGTTATCATCCAGAAAGGACAGGTCATCATCAAATGCTGTGGGTCTGCAACAAGCTTGCCTCACTTTGTCAGTGACTAGTTTTTTCTTTCTGGTTAAGTTTTTTAAAATTTTGTCATACGTGGTCTCAGCTGCATCGCAAGATCCACTGCAATACCGGAAAATTAGCTCTTCTTTGGTTTCGTATCCCAGATCCAAGTCAGTCACGTTTAAATGTATTTCTGTTAAGACACATCCTCGATTTTTGCTCTTTTGATTCCTCCTTCCCTTTTTATTGGAATTCTCTACGTTCGTGGCTGCGTTTTGCCGGTTTCTCTCCCGCCTAGAAAAAACTGGGGTCTGTTTATCCGGTGACCTCCTCAGTCTTTTAATGGTAGCTTGAATAAAGTCCACTACCTCATCAAACTGATCTGGATAATCCTCTGGCATATTAGCTGTTTGGGAAAGAGAGAAAAGGCTTTGTCACTTGCCAGTTGCCATTAACTTTGTCCATTTGTGGCTCAAAAACATTAGACACATGCAAGCTGCTCTGCCCATCACTTCAGAGTGCGTGCTCAGGACCCTCAGAAGTCAGGGAGAATTTGCAATGGTTTAGATCACCACAGAAACTCATCTGGGGAAAAATAAATGAGATATGTATGCATCTCTGTACTTGTCTGCCGATGCTTGGCAGCACTCCAACACATCTTTCAATATTGAATAAGCCCTGTCAAAATCGAGGGAAGGAAAAGCATGTCATGACAAGAATATTAGTTAACGGGTGGATAAAGCTACTGTAGAGAGGTTATACAGGCTCTTCCCAGCAAACCAGCGAAAGGATGAGATTTCATTAAAGCAATTTTGTGATTATAATTGTTAATTGTTTTCTTTTCACACCAGCAGCAGTTAGTATTGCCAAAGCCACCTATCAATAAGGTTTTTGGCCAGGACAGAAAGAGGAATTTCCTGGGGTATCAGGCTGAGCTATTATTCCTGGCTGAATGCCTGCTTTTTACTGCTTCTAGAGGATAATTATTATCAGAGCTTTTGAAAAACTTCTCATGAAAGTATTTTGTATCACAAGATGCTGATGAGACTGAGTAGAAATAGGTCAGAATAGAAGTATTATGTTAATTTTCAAGGGAAATGTTATTAATGCATTTTCTTCTTATGAAGTTAAAATACCTATTTCATTTTTCACTTGATATATACTCTACCAGTGATAAATTATTCAAGTAACTTAAATGTTGAAGTCAATGAAATGTTTTGATACTAGCAGAATGAACCTCATCAAGGAGGTCAAACTGAACGTGTTCTGGAACGTTCTCTGACTTCAGCTTTTCAACATGATTTGGAAAAAAAATCACATTTTGAAATCTTTAAACTTCCCATGGACTAAATCCCTCCATGTGATTTGCTGTAGTAAATACAGTGATTTAATGGAGGGTCAGGCTGTCAGAAGTCCGTGTGTAGTGCCCTTATGTTGTATTATCAATGATGGTCTCTTAAACACATAAAGTACATTGCAGTATTAAAGTGTTTTTTTCCTCATTCATTGTTTCAAAAATTAAGACTTGAGGATTCACTTCCTTTGCAGTAAGACCTAAGAGGATGCTTCTTTCTGTACTTAGCTCCTTACTGCCCACCCACATAACAGACCAGTGTCACGCATCCAGCCCTGTGTGTACAGAAGCTCCACCTCCAGATGGACTGCTACAAATATCCCAGGTACTGCAAACACTGGGAAAGGCGATACCCAATGCAGTGCACCTGGCCAGGGGTTGGTACCACCACCGAGCCATGAAGGCTCTCACTGGGTCAGGTGTTGAGACAGAAACAGCTCCTTAGGCAAAGGCTCAGTGCCACATTTCCCTAATGAGCACTGTAACAGACAGAAGCTCTGACAGGAGACCAGGCAATGCATGTACCCAGCCCACACACAGTGTCAGGGAATCTTTTAATAGGGGAGAGGAAGACATGAGGCTGCCTTATATTGCCTAGCAAACGTGCACCTTCATATCCTCAACAGAAGCACCAAATAGAGAGAAGATGAGGGCAACAGGTTCTTCACTCTGTTAGTGCAAAAACCTGCTGAAACACAGTGCATCTGCACGTAAGGAGGAATATGGACCCCTTCCTGAAGCAGCCACATCCTAGAGGCCCCGTTCCATGACAAAACAGTGATGAATCAGAAGTATATGGCTTTTCATGGACAGCTCCAGGAAAATAGTATGGACTGGTAAAAGAGTAGTGAAGGCAGGCATCCTGCACCTTCACATAATGAGGGTGACACATGGGAAGCGAGATGCTATAAACTGTACAGTTTGGGACTGGGAAACGTGAGTTACACCTTATTTTACAGATATCCATGCTAAGGCAAGCATCGCGCAGACCACTGACTGTCAAAAGACATGAAGGAGGGATGGCTGCTATCTATACAGCTATATGGGACCTGAACAAGACAGGACCCTGCACCAAGCCCCATATTGCTGTGACACCAGTGGTAAGCGCACCCTTCTTGCACTCCTCTGTCATTACCTCTGTAGCAGGTACCAAAAAACTCACTATAAGCCATACCTGCTGGAGGGGGGTAGGTTGGATAGATGTGTCCATTGGATGCACCACCCAGCTCTGTTGCAGGACAGGCTGGTGGGCCTACACCGTACAAATACTGCCCTACTGAGCAAGGTCCAGGTCAAAGCGATGGGTGGACTACCTTCCTTGAAAGCAAGAAGGGACGGATATCTTGCTAGACTCAGTAAAGCAAGATGACCCGCGTTGAGCTGGCATGGCCCCCATTGCTGAAGGACAAGCTTGGCCCTGGCACAAATACAGATAGGGAGGTGTTTGGCAGGAGGCAATTGTTGCTGTGGGACTGGGTGGTTTCTTGCACAGAAACTAGGTTTCTTAGCTTCTAACCCAGAGGAGACAGCTGTGCCATTCTCCACTCTCACCTTCAAATCACCCCTCTCATTCTACTGTGACTACCCCAGCCCACACCTCTGTCACATACTCCTAGCCCAACCCTTGTAGCAACAGTATGATGCAATGAGATGTTGGCTGTGGAGAGTGAAATACAACTGTCAGGGAAGCATACTAGGGTTTAACGAAATTCAGGCAATGGCCAGCCATCAGGAAGGGGAAGTGAGTTTGTCACAGGGAAACCCAACCTATATGTGGAGATTCTTGTCTGCAGCCTTCAGCCTCATACTTATCCCAAACCTGGTATGCTGCCAGTACAGTGAGGGGAGTAAGTGTCTCCCACTGAAGACGGGAGAAACAAAACTGTGGATTACCTGAAGAGAGATAATAACCCAACTAGGCACATAATTTTTAAACTGCTTGAAATTCAGGTGAGAAAAAATCACCTACCCATGCAACAGTCCTATATGCAGGAGTCTACTTTGGTTAAATATTAATCAGACAGTTACAGGGTTCAAGCACTGTCCTGACCAAGCCAATCCAAGTATGCCCTGGAGGGCAGATAAAGAGGAGCAAAGGCCCATGTTGTGGAACATGCTCAGAGCCCACGCTGACATCTATCCCACCTATCCTGCTTCATGCGTGATCGATACCTTAACTGCTCCAAGGCATCTAATGTTGCTGAGAGCCTTCTGCGCTGTGAGTGGCTGATGACATTTAAAGTGAAGGAAACACACCACAGAAGGGCCCTAGGCCACGCTGCTAATGCAGGTATGGGGTGTCAACATTGCAGAAGGTGGAAGCAGTAGGGAAAAAAGTAGATCAAGTAATCAAGCCAACAGTGTATCTACGTAGAGAAGCCCTACTTACACACGCAGACTTGCTGCAACCAGAAAATGGGGTAACTGGCAGCACAACCGATCCTGCTAATTTCACTGTGGCTCTAACACAAACCATGCAAGAAGCACTCCAAGCTGTAACCTGGGATGAGGTGTGTGTGGCTGATACGTCTAATGCTCAGCTTATCCTCTATTGCAACATCAGGCCACTTGGGAGACTCACTGGGAGGGATGCCAGCACTTTGAGTAAGATGAATGCCAATTTTCTATCTCCAGGCTACACTTCCCCTTCAGCCAAGGGGATTGGAAAATATCCCAAGCAGATACCCAAATCTGTCGAGGACTCCTGCAGTGACTGCCAGTATTTGGAGATTACAACACTGGAGGAGGCACAAGGCATATGGGTGATACTAGGGAACTGGTGGGAATAGCAGGCACAGAGCCCCCCCCTTGAGAAAATGTGCTGTACCTACCGACCCTGGTCCATGTCTGCCCACCTACAAACACACTTGCTCTTACGCAGCTGTGTGGGTATACTGCTAACTCCATGTCAGCTGCATGACTCGACTCCTCAGTGAGTCCTTGCAAGGTGCTGTAAGCAACAACACCCTCTGCCTGTGGAGCCCCAAACTAGTCACGATCAACGCAACAATGCTCTTTTTGGTAGCTTCCAACTGGACTGCCAATGTACCACAAGTTTGCTTCCGTAATTGAGCACTGCTCGAGGAACGCCTCCAAACCCCACAATCAGTCAGCCTCTGGCTAGTACAACTCCGAATTATTACACAGTCCCACAAAGCCAAGTTCCAGTGTGCGCTGGGCGGCATTGGCCTGGGCTCTCAGCACTGCAACAAGCTCATCTGGACCCAGCAACCACTGAACTATGGACCCAAGCAACGGGGCTCATACTGATCGGATGTGGCTTGGTGCTAATTTTCTGCTGCTTAATGAAGCATAGTCATCAGCGTGACTACAGTCACTAGGAGTGGCTCACAGGCATTTCAAGCAAACCTTGACAGCCAGCAGTGAATTGAGAGTTAACTCAGCAGCCTACGCCAAGGTGTCAGTCATGACTTAGCAGGGATATTCAGCTGTGCAAGAAGCAAGGGTGCGAAGCCTGAGCCCGAAACAAATGCTGCAAAAACCTGCCGAAGTAGGACCGTGGGCAACCAAGTGGAAATGCCAGCATTAACACCAGGCGTGACAGGTTGAAACAAGGCACTAGGGGTAAGTGCTAAGGAAGCTGCGACCAGACATCACACATGAATAAGCAATAACCACTGACCAAGGACTAAAGATAGTAAAAGGCTACTGGACAGAAGGGAAGGTGGAGAAGACTGACAGTAGGACCACCCCATCCTGACGGACACTTGGTAGATATGCTCCAGGGATGCTGAGGCGTCTCTGCACCACAGCCACCACGTGCTGAGTGCTTGTTTGGTCTCTGCACTGTGGTAAGTGCTGCTGGGGGTGACGGGGGTGCTGCGCTGAGCTGTGTGGCCAGGGAACACCACTGCCATGGGGCTGCCTTGGCGTTGAGTGCTGGTCTGTAACCTGAATAAAGCCACTCTGTGGAGGGGTACTTAGTTACCCCTCTGTCTCCAGCACTGTTTATAAAACGTTTATAGTCTCACAACAAAGAACAACAGCCTGGCAGCTTTGCTTCTCTAGTACTGCACGGACTGTGCTGGCTT